TCGGCGAAGCAAGTCAAAATTGCATACAAGAGCCGAGGCGTTTCGTGGTGAGGAAAAGGCCATGGGCCCGCATCTTGTACACACTCGATTGTTCTTCGTTGGGGTTGTCTCTCACGGAAACAAAAGGAGAAAATGCTTCACAGCTAGTGTGGTCGATGGCGTGGCCGGGATGAAACGAAACAAAATGGACGATGGAGGTTGATGTTTCAATGTGTGTTACGGAGTCCCTTGATTTTGGTATCTATCTGTCTCCTTGAATTAATAACATGTATTGTCATGCCGAGCATCTCGTTGACCGGTTGTATTGATTGTACGTAATCTAATATTAGTATGTATGCAGAATCAAGCATTACTCTTGAGTTTTCGTGATCCGTTAGTTCAAGATATTAGATCACCGTGTGGCATTATTATTATTATTATTATTATTACTATTATTATTATTGGTGTTCTTGTTGTTGTTGTTGTTGTTATTGCGGTGAGTTTGGACTAAAATTCTAGATTGCGATAGTTGCAAGCTCAGTTGTTTGTAGCCAATATACCATGGCACACATATCAATCTAATAAGAGAAGCCTGAGACAGTAGACCATTTACAGTTATACAGGGCGGGGGGTTAGTAAATTTATATATCTTGATGACAAATTTAAAAATTACGTACATACACATGCATGGATGGCAATAATTTCAAGTGTTCTACTGGACTTCTTTTTACACTAAATAAGGAAATTTTACGCATTATTTTTCTTTACTAGGCATACAACATAGCCTGTGATCGCGCCCACCACGTCTAGAGGCTCATAATAAATACCAAGCAAATCAATTATTGTATTAGATAATGGAGCTAGAATTTAAATGGGAAGTTTGATGCCATTTATGCATGAAAGTTATATGTATAATTTTTTGTGATATCATATATATTGTTACCAGAACTAGCATACAACGACTAGTTAGTTGTATGTAAGCACGCAACGTTAGATTGACGCATTGTTCTTACTTTACGCCCGAACTTGGGTAAAGATATTGATGTATTTTGTTTTTCAAGTGTAGGTTCATGTTTTTGTATTTTGTTTTTCAAGTGTAGGTCGGTTCTCTTTTCTTCTCATTAGTTTTTTTGGTATCTACAAACATCTACTTGAAGGTTTAACTATTGTTAGTTATTATCCGATTAGGTATGTATAAAAATTTAATGTTTTAGATGTAGTTATGAAAATCTATTGGCTACCTATATATTAATTACAACAGTAGTCCATTGAATAAACGACAAGTCGTTTATAGTTTTATGAGTTTTTTAGCTATCATTTTTCCCTAGTGTGGTTTTAGTATCTATCTCCTCAAACACTAAACTCCCTCGAAACGGAGCCTCCTGGTGTGTCGCGAGTTTTGGTGGCAGGTGGGCCTTTGCTCGTGTATGTGGGCTAGACGGGTTGGGCTAGTTGCCTACGATGCGTGACTTGCATTTGTTGTCTTCCATGAAACAACAATCCAACTATGTATAGCACTTCGTCTATCGTTTGACGGATCTATCAAGAAGGTAAACTCCACCACCAAATCAAGAACGATTACCCATGCCCAGCATGAAACAAACCAAACTAGGAATGGAGTTCAGCTAAGAAACAAGAAGAGTCTCTCTCTCT